TTTTCTAAGGCATAACTCGATGGCAGTTGGCTATGGACGAACGGTCTCTCAACCAAAGGCAGTTGAAAGCAGTCACTATTTTCACCGTGACCATTGCTCTTCACTGAACCCTAACCGAGGGCATAGATCACAGGCATAATAGTACAAGCTTCATTTTCGCTCACGCGCCCAGTCAGTGTACCACTCAGTTAAAATTAACCGTAGCACTTGCACAATATTTACGTTAACCAGTGATAGCTGTACTTCACACTTTACCCTGCACAATTAACGCTAAACTCTATACACCTCACCCTCTACATAACACACTTCACGTTTTACACTGCACATTTCACACTATATCCCAGGTATCACAGTTATCGGCCGGTCCGCCTGTTTTCATTGGGTCGAACGAAGCACGCGACCTGATATGTATTTATGTATGAATATCAATAATTGGCCGCTTACGGCGTATACATGCACAGACATCACCAACTTGCAGTCGAAAAAAATCAGCGAGTTCGTGGTTAAATGCATCAAATTGAAAGGTTCCTTTGATTAGTACAGCAGTTGTTTTGTTTTGTTTTTCGATTTTTTTTTATGTCTTCGTTAGATTGGACCGTTGGTGTTGGCGTTATTCCTAACTTTAATCCCCAGTTAAATTCGTAATTTGGGTTCTACTTAATGTAGTTGTCATTATAATCAATCAGATATTCCGATAATCCAGGCTAAAAGAAGATCATTTTTAGTACCAAAGGCGCTCGTAACACTTCTGTTTTCGTTGTACACGTAAACTGTAAACTGTAAACTTTATGAAAAATAATAAAAATGTAAAACGTTAATAGTGCCTTTGTAAATCCAAAAGTAAATACAAGTCACCTTGTCCAGCTCAACTGATCCTGCTGTTTGGTGAAATAATTCCTTTTTCTTGTGTATTATCTTTCTTGGCTGTTTACTCTTTCTGGTAATTTCAGGCATTTGATGGAGATGAACTGAACAAGCCACTGTGACCTGAGGTTACATGTTTCAATCATTATTGCTTACTAGCAGTTGTTAAGGGTGACAGTTCGTCGAGACAAAAACGTTTTGTTTTTTTGACGGCTGAAGTCACCGTGTGCCATGTCGTCGGATCTTAATAGATTCACAACTGTTTTGTCGTTTTTGTTTTTTCTGTTTTTAATTCAATGAAAGAGAAGGTCCAACATTCTTTTTTTTGTTATATTGCTATGCTTTGGCACCAGGCTGTATGCCTTAGATATTTGGTAGCAGAAAATTCCACATGCGTGAAGCGGGTTGTTAATTTATACCCTTTCAATCAAAAGGGAATTTACTCTCCAGTAGCCTGGTGCCGAGCGTGGGAAAGCTCACCTTTGCACATAATGAATCTTGGAAAAATTTTCGTTTTGGTTTCGACACGTTGGAACGTGTTGCTCAACGGCTAATAAACACATAATCAGTTACTTTTGACACGGTATCAAAGAGACAATCTGATTTTCTCTCTTCGCTGCATGGTCACCGCGGCAGAGAGTGTCACCTTGTACCTTATTGTCAGCCGAGGGTTGGCGTGTGTTTCCCAAAAAAGTACAGCACTTTTCAATTGAGTGTCTAAAGCTAGTAATCAGAATTGGTTGTATTTTGCTTTACAACGTTTTGAGTTTGGCAAAAAAAAAAAAAGGAAAGCAACAACAAAAAAACAATCAAGTTATAATATCCAGCGCTTAGAACCTGTGACGTGTATACGTGCTTTGAGTTTTCATTGGTTCGTTGTTGTCTACGCTTGCTGTGATTGGCCATTGCGAATATTGTAAACTGAGTTTGCTTTAATTACACACGGTTTAAAATTCTTGCCTAGGAAACACTAGACTACGAGTAGTCTCTCTTTCGCTCAGTCCGTCGTGCGCGACGCGAAAGAAAACCGCGAGAAAAAAAATGGCCTCCACGATTTTCCCGTGGTTTTCTTTCGTGTCACGCACAATGGACTAAGCGAAAGAGGGACTACTCGTAGTCTAAGAAAACACTTGGCCAGTTAAACCAGTATTAGGCAACTCATTAGTAACTGAAGGCGATAAAATACTAAATCCGGTTCTACTCTCATCGTTGGCTGAATATCTCCGTTATTGAGTTGTCCTTGTTGAATACTGTTTTGACTGTTTCTGATGCCGGAGTGACTTAAATTTACCGTGCACAGGAGCAATCACTGCATTAAAATTAAATTTATCTTTATTAACATTTTTTACACATAAATACCTTTTATTTGCATGTTGCAACATTATAATATAAATAATTTGCACGTTCGTGCAGCGGTATGTTTGAAATAAATTAAATAATTTATTAACCCAAATATTAATATTAAATTGAATTCACTTGTCGTTAAAATGAAACATTTTTTAACGTCGTCGTCTTTCAATAAAGAATATAAAATTATGATAATAAAGCTTCTTTGAATAACATACAAAGCAGTTAAATCGGGATCATGTGCCAGGATTAAAATTAGGGTCTGACAATTCTATTCTGAAATGCCGTTTGGAGAGGACATCAAATATTAGTCACTGCCTCAGATTGGCAGAATTAAAAGTACTTAATGGCCGGTGTATAGTCAAAACAATAAACTGAGCATTGCAAAAATCGAAAATCATAGTACAGAAAATTAAAAGCATCAGGGAGAATTCTCAGAATTTCAGGGAGGACCTTCGTTACAACTCAGTAAAATTCAAACAGTCAGTGTTTATCAGAATTGTCACCCCTCGTTTTACGAGGCAGCGTGTCATCTCAATTAAAAAGGTCATGTATAAGCTAAATAATAGGCTTGGTCAAGCTAAGCATTAATTCTTTCTCTGCGAGGAGTGAAGAAGTATCAAACTGAGTTTGAAAAAAAATGACAGACTGAACCATATGAAAAGTGCTGCTCATAAAGGGTTTCATCCAAATTGCTATCATTATCTCCAGACTCTAGAGGATCTAGAAACGCTAAACGGAGTTAATGGAGTTTTGACGACCACAGGGTGCCGATGTTTCTGTCATTTAATTTAGTTTATTACCGTCTTTCCTCAGTAAGACAAACTGTAAAACAGTCAATATGAAATACAATAACAATACACAGTATCGTTTGGTGTTTTAAAAAGTAGATACTGAAAATATACATATGTACTTTCGAATAAGTTATGTGAAAAATATTTTCTGCTTTGAATAAATAACTAAATAAGTAAATAAATATCATATATGATTAAACAATTATTTTCATAACGTATCTTCCATAAGTTTTCTCTTTGGTAATAAATATATCTTTTAAGCGAAATTCAATATTGACGGCTTTTAAGTAGGCTCTTCACAAATAAATAGGTTTCTGTAATTAAATATACTTCTATGTTATAATACTTTTTAAGGTCACTGTACACCTAAAACAGTTTTAATTCGTGAACTAACAAACTCTAAGATTTATACGGCATAAATCGCGCGGCCTTCTGGAGGTTCGTCGTATTGTGTGGCTGTTTTACCTTTCCATTTCGTTTAAAACCGAGATACCAGCTTGTGTTGTACATTGACTGAAATGTTGTGTACCCATCGGAGAAGTCTTCTGAAAACACGCAGCGGTCTAAAGTGTTTCCATGCACCTACAGAGATCAGGAAAAACAACTTTTAGTCTCCCAAATAAAAAGGAAAATGTTTCCAGGACGACGCAGGTAAGCTCGGCAAAAAAGGCCCCACCCACCCCACCCCGAGCCGACCTGTATAGTACTTGAGTGGGCCTTTGAACAACAACAGATGTAGAGCTGAGTATTATCTGCATATAGATAAGTAGACGTTGATGGTCAGGTAAATCGGGTTGCCCTTGATTTCGCAATTGAAAGTAAGCTCACCTCCAGTGTAAGGTCGCCATTTGGGTTGACACATAGGTAGCTGTTTTCTGTTACGGATCTTATTCTGACTCCAACGCCGAAACCTTCTACATAAGTTGATTCCAACTGTAACTTAGCTGAAACGAACAACAAAACAAGAAGATTAATTGCAAATCACGCTTTTATCTAATAAAAAAACATTCTAAGTTAAATTAGCATGTTCGAACAACACCTTTTTTTCTTGGCAACGGCTTATGGGCGCTTTATCTAGGGCTTAATTGAATTCTGGAAGAATCTTGACACAAGACAGCCCTTTCTTGCGGCAAAACTGAGTTTCTTTTTTGGGGCGGAGTGTCTTAATTTGCGGGTGTACTCAAATCTGTTTTTAAGTAAACCGTCATTAGCGAAACTTCCTGAGCCGAAAGAACAAGTCAAGTTTGTGAATAACAACAAAGCACAAAGTCAAGCTCAGATATTAAAACAATGGGAAAACAAACCTATTGACTAAAGAATGTGGCATACATTCCGGGAAGCTTTCGACCCCGAGACTCATTCTTACAAAACATGTTTCTCCGTAAAAGGATGTCAATATTGTGTTTATAAAAAGGTGTTTTTCTCCCTCGCCCACGCGAAAGTGCGAATTCATAAAATTCCAATGATGCCGTCTGTATCTTGTACACAACAACAATGAACACAGTTTTCGTTTCATTGAAGATGGCTTATTCAAGACCGTGTTCTACCACACAGGTGCTGATGACACCCACAGATCTTGTACTTGATAAAAGTTCATTGCTGCTAGCTCATTTATATAACAGAACTGACAGGAACCGAGACCGGCGAAAAGCGTTTAAAATACACATCTGAAACTTGAGAACTGTCTTTTCTTCAGTAAATAGTAAAGTTTTTTTGCATAATAGTAGGCCATGTTCAGTCGTGAATGAGCCCTGGGGGCCTAGTTAACATAACTTCTATAGCCTGGAAACTTCAATCATGGTCGCTTTCGTGCATACGCAAAACAGGGAACAGTGTCTCGAGAGTACATTATACATCTGCGACATTTCAGTACAGAGCACGTACTAAATGAAAGACGTTTTCTTTGGTTTCCAAAAAAAAGAGCGCCAATATTTGCCGCCATTCATTCTTGAAATTTGCACATTGTCGGAAGAATTCTCTTAGAAAGACCGCACCGCTTTTGGCGGGAAAAATTACCTTTTGATGTTGGCGGCGTCGCACAGAAACCGCTAAACGAAGAAAGATCATTCACCGACTTTGTGCCATAATCCTTTTACCGTAGTCATAATCTACATTCAATGCCAATATTACTTGGCTTAATTCTTTTCTTAATTGTCTATTTGTGGTTGTAACGCTAAGCTTTCTAAGCGGTTCCAGTTAATGTGCACACAACATAGGTTTCAGTGTGTGTTTAGAACATTTTTACCGACAGAAAAGAAAGTTCCCGAAATGCTGAATTGACGGGGAACATAAGGGCATTTTAGGCTAATTTGAAAAAGATTGAATCGATGTGTATGCCTTGAACCGACGCGAGGACAGGTCGGCCTTTTTTCATCCTAGAGCCGTGAAATTTTTGTTTGATACAAAGGAAGCTTTACAATCCTATGAACAGACAATGTAATTGAAGTGTGTAAGTGCTTGGACGTGGTGAGATTACTCACTTTCTTCTGGGGGACTGCTAAAAGATAAGTTTTAAAAGCGATTTATCAAAACAGCTTGGGTGGTCTTTTGGTAGGAGGTCAGGTTTTTGATATAATGTTTCTATATTAAAACGGAAAAAAAGATTTAAGTAACTCACCACTTGCGTCTGTCTTGCGACCCAAGGCATCTACATTGGAGCCCTCCACTCGTACAAATTTATTTGTATTCGTTGAAAATAACCAAACAGACCTTTCGATAGATACGGATTTCTGAAACAGACAGCGAGAAACATTGATAGATATTAGGGTTAATAACCTCGATTATTACATAATGACTGTTTATTCGCTATTGTTGCATAAGAATAGTCTAGACAATGAAAATAACGACTGAGAATTGACCTCCACGATGAAATGAAGTGGTGAGGAACTGAATGGGATTCCATTTATCTCGCGGGAAATAAGCTATTTAGACTACATTTGCGCGTGTTTATAATATTGGCTATTTGGATTTAACAACAACTATGTTTTCCTAGGGGATTTATACAGACACCAGTTCACATTACTGCGTGACGCGTGCAGCCCAACTACGTTTAGCCTGACGTAATGCTTGGACTGAATTAGCAAGGCTAAAAAAGTCCCGCTTTTATACTTGAATACTAACTCACCAGTACAGTAGAATCCAAAGGAAATGCAACAGTCCTGTGAAAAAAGCAGAAAAACTGTTATCTACTAGTGTTAAAACTCTTGTTGAATTAATGAACCCTTTGAAGTACAAGCATTTACGCGCGATATATTCTGATCGTAAAAAGCGATGCTTCGTACGCTATGACTAGCCACGTGGAACTCGAATCAAAACAAGGACTCGCATTATCCTCACCGTATTATCCTTGTGAAAATTAGTACGGCTAATGCCGACCACAATGTAACTGTTATACTGTACTTCATGTTTCTTTGTCCTGTTAAATGGATGTACGTTGTTCAAGAAAATATACAATTACGAGGCAGTCGTTGTCGGTGATGTCGCTTCTTACAAGAGGCTATGATGTGCTCTGTTGCCCTCGGTTGAATGATCAACCAATGCTCTAAAATCGCGATTATAAGCGAACATCGAAACCGCAGACGTCTAAAAACCGGATCTGCTCCTCCCAGCGCCGCTAGTAGCAATTTTCCGTTGCCTTAAAAGTCGGAAAAGTCCCGTGTCACGTTAACGCATTACATGCCCTGTCAGCAATGTCCAGGCTTGCCTAGCTTATCTACGTCGGAAATGACTCTTCGCACGCGAAGATCGAAATCAAAACGGCTGATGTTGACGTTTTTAAGTTGTCGACGAATCGAATCCTTAAGTGTCAGATTCTGCATTCTCAGCATAGTTTGATTCTTCTGTAGCTTTGTTTGTTATGACGACTCATATTGCTTTACTATTTTTCAATTCTGAACGTTTCCGCCATTCTTTCGTGTATCAGCGCAGCGGGGATAGAAATGATGTCATGCATACGTTTACGTCTTGATGAAGGAACTTCATGTAACATTGCGGAGTAAGCAAACTTTAAGTGGGTGCGAGGAAGTGACGGGAACCTGACTAGCAATAATCCGTCTTCTGCCCTCCATAAGTCAGGGCGAAGCTTCGTAACTTCCGGCCAGTTTTAACGAAAAGTTGACGAAAACAAAAGTTTGACTCAGAGTGCGTGATGGAACAAGAGAAACCTCAAACTCTTTGAAATATTGATTAAGATTTTCTGTTTTGTTGTTCGCGTCATACTCATGTGACGACGTCTGATAGGAACACCGAAACAGGATGAACTTAAGGGCTGTCACGCTAAGTGGAAGCCATTGAAAAGGAATCTTCGAGCTTTATGAATCTTAAATTTAGTAAAAATACCAAAATCCTATGAGACACCCACAATTTCAGCATGAAAAAACCTAAAACATTAATTCGTTCCTAAATAAAGAAATTTCGTCCTTACAAGCTAGCCTTGATAATTTATATTCACCAATTATCTGACAAATTTCAGAACTTACTGCAGAGCTGCAAGAAACCCTTTTGAATTCATGTTCTGCATAGTAAAAAATGTCGCTATATAATTTTAGTTTGAAACCACCTTTCATTGTGGTTGATAAAACGTTTTGTATCCCAACCACAAAACTGTGGAATTTCACAGTCCAAAATAACAAGTCTCCCTCGCATTACCACAAAACGGGAAAATCCTGTATTTCATTTATTTAGATGGACTTCTGTTTGCGTCATTTTCATAACCCTGTCGTTTTGCAGAAAGTTACAAATATAGTCAACGGAAACATATTATCGTTAAAAAACATCGGTATGTATAAAATTTTATTGTGTTCAAATAAAACCTTGGTGGAGGAGTGATAAGTCAAGTTATTTCACCCTATCGGAGTATTTTAGGACACATACGAGACCTTTCACTCTCGTTGAGAAGTCACGCAAACAAACAAGAGACTATCCAAAGTTATCACCCGTTCATTAATATCAGTTCAACTGAATCAAGTGAAGTAAATCAGAATTTTTTAAAGCCACCTTAAGCGAATTGTCAAGAGGATTACATGAGATAAGTTTTTGAGTTAAAAAGGAAATCAAGCAAGCACATGGACCCTCACTCCAAAAGCCGATATATGGCGATAATCCAACATAATGCAGATTTTAAATCGGCCTGGAACTGTGCTTAAATAAAGTAGAACTAAGATGGGATTGAAAGTATGTTATTGCTATAGTTTGTAGATCAAGTAAGTCCGGGCCATTAGTGCTTGTCTTTGGTTTTCGCTTTCGCTGTATTTTAAAATTTGACACAAACCTACTGAGTAACTTTCGCTGTAGCAGCCTTTAACCGACAAAAAAACTTCATCAAAAATAATTCGTTCGCTTATTATGCTATTTCTCCGGCGACTAAAATAAAGGTTCAAGTATTTCATGTAATGTTTAATTTTGGAACACTATCACTTAATTACAATTGTTGATTGGTGTGGTTTAATTTGAGGAAGTCCTTTCGCAGATATTTTTGCCAAAGCTACGTAATCTCACGTATTAATCTTCTCCTTCAGATACACTACTATAAGCTGTTTTTCAGTACTGTTTTGAATACTTCCGCTTCAGTTTTCTTCCCAATCCTTTCACAAAAAGGCTGTATTTAGATATTGGCATTTGATCAAAAGTACACTGAAATGAATTTTACCATTTTAGAGAAAAAACTGAAACCTCAGGGAACACTGCACGATTTTCTTGCCAAAATTATCCATGCACCTCGTGTGCACAGCTGGCTTTGAAAATCTCTTGGTCGATTTCTTTGACATGCAACTTGTTAAGTCGTACTCAGAAAAGTCCATCTAGTGTGTCAGTTTTTGAACAAAGAAGTTTTCGTGGAAACTGAACTTGTTATGTGACGAGAATCTTGTTATTGGTCTTTGTTCTGACCAGGAGCTGACGCTCGAATCGTCATTTCAGACAAAGTCACCATGGCGGTTAATTTATCTCAGTGTCATCTAATATGTGTTTCACTTGCTCGTCTACATAACCAAAAATGTTCTTTAGAAGCTAATAACAAGGACTCGTAAGAAAGCTTTAATCTCAAAGAAAAACTTTTCCACGGACTGATAAAAAATACATCGAGGAGACAATATATTTAGTGTATTTTACAGTTGTTTTATGTTTTTAACCGGTTATTTATGAATTAATATTATTTTGTTTTCACAGGACCTCACTGAATACCACTTTTCAGTGGATTGATCCCCCTGTATAAAGTTTGTTATTATTATTATAATCGTTCAAAATGATAAAGGCTAGTAGTTTTCCATGGTAATAGATGTCCAACAGTAGCAATTAAATGTACTCATGATGATAGATGCGAATGCAGCCATAACACTACTGGAAAAAAGACCTGAAAAAAATTGATAGCTCAGTTGGGAGAGCATTGCACCGGTAATGCAAAGGTCGTGGGTTCAAGTCCCGTTCAAAGCCTGAAAATTTTTCAGGTCTTTTTTCCAGTAGTGTTATGGCTTCGCTCGCATCTATCATCATGGCTAGTAGTTTTCTTTACTGGTAAAAGAATTTTTCCGTGTTTACGTAGCTTCCGGCATTGATACGATATTACATTTAAATCCGCTGCTATTACTGTACTGTCTACGACGTACTAAGAGTGACGATGAAATATGCAACTTGTACAAGTTACTACAACACCTTAAAATAGAATTTAAAAAGCAAGCTTAGCAGTTATTACTGTCACGCAGTTTTCAGAGATATATCAAATGACAAATACGGAACTCTAGCTACTTATAAACAAAACGTCTCAGCGAAATATAGCTGACGACAACAACTGGCATTCTCCCGTCTGCTGTGAGCTAAGCCGAGTTGAATACTTTAGTTTGAAATCACTGGTAACTTAATTCGGCAAACTGTTTACAAGATAAAATGAAGATGAATGCTCCGAAGAAATACCAGTATTAGCTGATGTTCTACACTTATATGTTAGACAGTAAATAGAACAGCAAAAATTGTTACATCTAGGATTATTTTTTTCCACCATTACATTGTTCGTCTTTTCCGTGGGCAGAAGTGTGGTAAAACGCACCATGGAAAGTTCAAGTTCAGCGTTTGTTACCATTTTCAGTCATTTTGTAACACATCTTGACCGATCCGAGATATTTTATTACCATATATAGCTGTATTTCTAGCCAGTCATCGAAGCGTGGGAACTACCGAATATTCTTTGTTTCGCTAAAAGCAGCTAAAAGATATCGGGTACAAAATAGGTAGGATTCTCGCGGAACGGTAGTGTGACGTCACTGATGTCTTGTTATCTATCGTGTCACAAAGAGCCAATCAAAATAGTGTAAAAGTAGGCAACAATGAAAGCACTATCATCTGGTTAAGTTTAACACTGAAAATGCACTATAACTACACGATCAATGTGAGCCTTCTAAACTCTCACAACGCTTCTAACGTTTCAACGCTACAACGCTTCTATGTGGAAGCGGCGTGGCCCAGTGATGGGGCGCTAGATTTTTAATCCGGAGGTCCCGAGTTCAAATCCTCCTCTCTGCCACTAGATGGATTTGATGGTTTGGTGGTCCCAGATTCAACTCCTCCACGCTTGTAAATAGCCACGTGATCAACCTTCCGCCAGTTGGGATTTTTAACAATTTTCTGTTTAATTTACAATATTTGTTTGCTTATTTCAGTGTCCACAACTAGCACAGCAGTGCTAAACACTTCGACACTTAATTGAAGTCATTTTTTTTCTCTGCAAATCAGTTTTTCCGCGTCTTATCTATCCGAGCAGATTAGGTGTATGTGGGTCATAATGTCAATTAATTATCTAATGTAGGAGAGGCAATCGATACATCTTATAAACTCAATGTCTATTCGCTTGGGATCAGGGATTGATCACAGTCCCAAACTTATAAGGTGTACATTCTCAACTTTCGTGAGATTTCATGAGCCAGTCACGTGATGATTGACATCTGATCACTGGGTAGTTTTATAACCTGTGGTTTCTTGCTGGCATATCGTACCCTGACACTGCAAGCAGAATTTCAGCGGTAGAAAAGCCCAATTTTATCTGACGTCAATCTTGGCCCTTTCCGTCACCAGAGTACGTAAAAAAAACCGGGCTTAATTTAATTAAAGGCAAACAACAGGTATAAAGATAGATTATAATGCAGCCTTTACTGGGCCGTAGTAACCCCGACCGGTGGCTGATAGTGCAAAGATCTCCAAAATTTCGCCGAAAAAACGAGGGAAATCCATACCGTTTTGGAGTCTACACTCCGTGACCCAGTGAGTGCTAGCTGAGGTCGAGGTTCCAGCTCTGCTGGCATCACTGCGTAAGACACTCATCTTTCAAATAGATACTGATCTGCGAACTACAAACTTACATGTAGCAAAATGATGGGAGGTGGGTAGCGTTTGATAGACTAGGGGTATTACAATACTCCTACCGTTTCATCTTGTACAGAATAACCGAAGTTGAAAAGCAAACTGTAATATGTGTCTTTCACAGTGATGCCAACTTTCCAATTCTAGTTTCTAGGCTTTTCTATACATTATCACGTCACATACCCATCTCATCCGATCAGCTACCCTCTGTACCTATAAAACCAACATGAAGAGCGATGGCTCTAGAAACGTCACTGGTTTGACCCATACTCAATCTTGTACACGTAGTCCAATCTCAAGTTCCCTAATGGCTGCATGCACAGGCAAACTGATCATCGAACAGAATGATTCATTATCAATCATTTTATTTAGGTTTAGTTAAGTTCACGGTGTAAAGACCAGAACTTACTTCTAGCTCATTCAGTTTGCAGTCCACGTTGAGTTAGGCTTGAGTCAAGTTTTTTCCTCTCCTCTGTCCGGTTTGTTTGTAAATTAATTCTGCTCTATAGATCGAATATTATGCAACTGTGAAGGATAGTGCGGAGTTTGGTGGGCACATTTTTCATGCTGACGATGACTTGCAGTTAAATGCTTTTCAGCCCACCAAGCCACAAACAGTTACACAATGTAAGCTTTCCGACTGAGATTCCTAGACGCCAATTAATCCCAGCCTGCGAACGCAGTCGGATCTCAGACCAGAACATTCAAGTTCTCATGAAATGTTTGTGCTCCGTAACGCAATTCCTCGGCAACCGGAAATGACAAAACTACGGTACAATGCATGCAGGTTAAAACGCGCGCACTTCCGGGAAAATAAAACTCCCATCCTGTCTTAAATATAATACATTCTACTCCACTGTGTCACGTTGTTTTCCGCTGGACAATACCTCCCAATAAAACAATGTATAAAACGTGAAATCGTACGGCGCTAGACGATAAGCGTTGGTGTTAAGACTGTCAAGGAAATAATACCACATAAAAACTGTTTTTAACTCTTTCAAACGGTAATTGAAACTGACTTTACAAGGAACAGCGCTTTGTTGTCAATATAACGTTATGCTTTATTTAGCGGCGAGGCTAATCGCTAATCGCTTCGATCTCTTAACCCCGAACATTATGAACTATGCAAATATTCTAAATTGATCACTCGCTTATTTTAGTGAAGGCAAATAAGGTCTACTTACTTGTAAAATGATATCTAAAGTACAAAATAATTGGCAATATCCTGATAGAAAAAAGCATGTGTCTGTATTATAGCTTCTGAGTTGTAAATAGTACATTGACTATCGCCCTCGATAATGCAAGCGATATTTTTAGGCCATCATTTCAAAAAGAAACTACCGAAGCTGTCACTGACGTCCTTCCAGTACAAATATAACTTTTATTTACTTGTCGGGCACCTTTGTGAGCAAACATCAGTGTAATTATACTTGTCTATACCTCCATATAGTTGGATCAGTTTTTAGCAAAAAGAAACAAAAAAAGAAACAAAGTTTCCGTGTGACCACCACTCAAGAGTATGTATCAGGAACCGCCAACACTTATAAGCACATCAATTACTCCAACGCTAAGTGGGTGACTAGACATGTCTCCCACTGGCTAAGCAGTCGTTTTGCTAAAAATGGAAGGGTGACTGGCTTATGGGAGCTGAAAACCCTTGTGGGGCATCATAGCCATGGGGACATAAAATACTTCTTATTAAGAAGAGTCCTAATCTTGATAATGGCCGTGTGAATAAAAATCTGCGATCACCTGGATTGAAACAAATACTCAACGTAGCAATTTGGAAACAATAAATAATCATTACTGTCAGGGTCTACTTGCCTCTGCATAATAAAGAAGACTAAAGCAGTCTTCATTTTATTGAGCTTTGTAGGTGATAAGAAGGCCTACAGCCGCGGACTTCTAGAAAGAAGAATTTATTCAGCAGGAAAATATCGAAGGGACCTGAAGTTAATAGTTTAATAAGGTAAAATACCAACAAGATAATAATAAAATGCCATGGCCAGTAATTAAAAGAAAAGATGGAACAGTTCAGTTTTCACGATGGGTGAACCGTGACGACCACTACGTAGGAAGCATTTCAGATCACGATATTTTTAGTTATTTCAAGCTAACGTGGGACCTCTCCTGGGGTCCTCTCGGTGTGGGTCTCGTGACAGATCGTAATGTTCTAAAGTGGGAGTCCTTATTGCCTAGCTAGTGGAGTGAACTGACGGCCTTATTGCCTTTTGAGGTGCCGGACTGTGTTTTTGGGTGCATGTTTGATGCAGGATAACTTTGAGCAAATTTGTACTTTGCTTACTGTTACTGTTTGTTGTTCTGTTGTGGAGGCTGTCTATACATCCAAGAAAAAATGACATTGGATGAGTCCATTTAGCAAGCGGTAAAGGTTCCGTAAATTTCTTGAATAAAAAAGATATACAGATACTAATCAGATCAGTTTATCAGTTTGTGGATAATGAATATTCTGCAAAGGAATTCGATAAGAACTTTAACTGGGCGGACAAAAAATCTACCATCACCCGCCCAATGTTATTTTCACTTTCCAGCACCAAAAAAAGAATGAACAAAAATAATAACAGAGTTCCTTTTCAGTAGCTTTCAGTGAGCCGCTTAAAACGTCAATCAATTTTGCGAATTGCCCCAAAATAACTGCGACGGTACCGCGTTATATTTTGCACCCAGCAGATCTGCATCAGTGTCACCAGTAAGTGCTGGCGATGCACAAAAATTTGTATACATGACACTTAAATAAAGATTCGTATTTACTCCAGTTGCGTCTGGGAGACCGAGACATGTAAGCGACATTTTACAATTTTACCGGTTTGGGCATTTTTTTTTTTTTTTGGAGCCGCTCTTCCCATCCATCCGGGAAAATCATATTTTCCACTAGGGAGGAATAATACTCCGGAGAATTTGAAGGAATCCTCTAATTCTAGGAAAAGGAAATCAAAATTTTACCCGGGAGGGCAAAATAACTCAGAGGATAAGATAGAAACGGAGGGGCGGAGTTTTTCGTAAAAACCAGCACCAGGACGGATCTCCCGAGTCTGCTACAAACAGGCGTGGCTCATGACATGAGCATGCGTTGACGGCCTGTGACTTTATTGACCAGAATAGCAGTATTACCAAAACCCCCAAGACTGCAGAAGACCTGTCAGTGAGGGTAAGATTTTTTTCACTGCTTATGAAATGATATTTTGGTAATGTACTAAGCCAAGCAAGTCTGATCTGAGAGGCGTGGTTTTATTAGCTGGCCGCAGTTCTGGGGCCCGTTTCTCGAAAGCCCCGGAAACTTTTCGGGCCAGTAAAGCCATAACAGAATCTCGAACCTTACGATCACAGAGCTGTTTTATTCACACATTCTTAATATGAAGAGAAGTTCCCTTCATACAAGAAGTTTCAGGCGTATACACTTCTCCGTTTTTAGATACCGATGGTCTAAAAATGGCTTTACGGGCCCGAAAAGTTTCCGGGGCTTTCGAGAAACGGGCCCCTGGTCCGACGGAAAACTTCAGTCATTTTTGTCTAAATCAGTGCCACAGGTAGTGTGGAAAAACTCGCTTGACAACGGGTTAGGCGGGGACAACATATTATCATCATCGACTGATAAAACAGGTCAGCTTGTTATCGTTCTGGAATGAGGAAAGGTAAAAATGAGGAAATAACAAAATTAGGAGGTTGCAGCTGGTTAGGAATATTGCAAATATTTGTCATCTCCTAGGTCTCAATACAGCTGTAAGTTTGAGTTTTGGCTACGATAATGTGAAATAAATCGTCTCAGAAAGTAAATAATGTTCATTGCTTTCTGAAACCTTCAAAGCCTTCTAAACCGTGAATAAAGAGAAGGGAAGGGAATTAAAAATTTTAAAATTCGTAATTGGGTTCCAGTCTGCCAAGGTTTTCGCGGCCAATATGGCCGCGCGCTTGGCATGGGTTTTGCAGAAAAAAACAAAGCTTTATAGTGCCTTCTCCAAATACTTTCCAGGTTTGTATTTGAGACAGGATAAACGCATAACCCAATGCTTATTTTGTTATGGGTCTCGCTCTATGCATGATTTAGCGTTCTGTGTACAACAAAAATAACCTGGATTCCAGTACAGCAGCCGATGTTGCCAGCTGGTGTGTAGCTTAGCACAAGATCTACTTCAATGAGGCGTTGTTATAAGAAGCTTTTCTTGTTTTGTTTTTTTTTTTTTGTAGTTCATGGGTTAAGATGGCGTCAGTATTCGTCCTCCACAACACGTCCTGGGAATATTACGTTAAAAGAACATCTCATTAGCAGGATCAAGGTAGAAAATTGCAAGTAGTATTTTGATCCATATTTATTAAAATATGTGAGTCAGTTTATAATAATATAATTGTTATAATTTAATTTGGTATTACCAGGCATCTGGACCACTGACAGTTGCAGCCTTTATGCAGGAAGTCTTGACAAATCCATTGTCTGTAAGTTGAGGCTTATTTTTATTATGTTTAACTTTGAGCTTGGTTTTTTATAATAATAATAATAAT